GTCAAGGGCATGTACCTTGGTTGCGGGCACATCCCCAGTAGGGGGTGTGCAGGAGGCAGCTGGTCGATGTTTCTCTCTCATCGATGTTTCTAACTCTCTATCCCTCTCCCTTCCTCTCTGTAAAAAATCAATAAATATATATTTTTTTTAAAAAAAGGAACACTGCAAGCTTGACTGAGCTGCTCAAGCTCACCTACTTAGTCACACAGTGCTGCTTCCATGCTGGATTTGGGGGCCTCCTTCCTACTGAACAATTCCTGCATTTATGATAGGTTGTTCTTCTCTATCTCCCTTCCTGGTACGTGTTTAACTCTGGAGAACTCAACCAGGCCTCCTTTCACAACTGGGCTGCCATGCCACAAGTCAGGCTCCTGACCAGATGGAACCAAATTTGCAGAAGCAGAAGTGCCTTTGAAAACGGGCAGGGCGGGCCCCTGCCTGGTCCTGCACTTTGGAACACGGTGCTCTGGGCCTCCTTCCAGCTCTGCCCATCCAGGCGAGCAGGACACCACTAGGATAATGGGAAGTGCTCGCCTGGAATCACCTCCCCCTTCCAAACCTTGCTGCCCTTACCTGAGACCCTGGAGTTCCCTGGCTGTGCAGTGGGCACCCCTAGGTCCCGGGGCTGACCAAGAGGAAGTGTCTGTGGGGAGTGAGAGGACAGAGAGGGCATGTGGATGGGGTGTCTACAGGTTTATGGGCCAAGCCTCTGAAGAGCAGCGGGAAGGAGGGGTGAAGAGGGGTGAGCAGAAGCTGGGAAGAAAAAGAAAAACTGCAGGTCAGCAGCTGGCTCTCCATTGTGGGAGGCTCCTAGGAGCCTGAGGGTTGTAAATTCAAACATGACCTTCCAGGTTTTATGAAGTACTACTTGTCAGGGCAGGAGAAGAAAACACATTTAGCAGTTAGTGTGTGACTTTTAAATACTTAGATATGCTAAATGGGCCTCCCATGCGGTCCCTGACTGGCCAGGCAAATGTCAGGCTGAGCTGGATGGGGCTCGAGGCCCTGCAACCTTGACTTCACGGTGCGGCTTGCACTGTGCACCGGGGTGGTTTTAAGGGGCTTGAGGCCCGTGGAGACAAAGGGCAGGGCTCGGGGCGGTGTGTCCTTCACTCTGTTTACCGACTGGGCACTTCTGGGTGCGGGCCAAGCAGCGGCTCTGCCAGGCCTCCCCCGGCCGTGGAGCCAGGCCCCGCTCCTGGCCCCGA